GGGGGGAGAATTCTCTGGTAACCAAAGGGAATAGAATGGCTAGTGATGCCCTTCTCTCCCCTGCCTGTAGCAGAGGAAGGAGCCCTCTGGGATCTGATATGTGGCTGAGTTGGCCCTGTTGTCCTCTCGTACCTTTTGTGATAAATGCACAGGCAGGGCAGCCTGGCTATCGTGTCCCCCTGAAGCAGCTCCTCCAGGCAGATCACACACTCACCAGCGTCTTTAGTCAGCACGTCATCTGCAAAGGGAAACGGAAGAGTGAGAGAGGGTCAGTCACCAGCAGGCAAGTGGCACAAAGCAGGCATGGATCTAGAACAGGTTGGGACAGCTTGGGTCACCAAACGTGTACAAGGAACTGTGGGGGACACAGAAGCCCAAAATGAACCTGGACCTGAAGGCCCTCTCTGCAGAGATAAGACATGCATATCACATGTTAATTATGTGAAGACAAAATGAAATTAATCACCAAATAAGTGGTCCAGGGTTAGGGTTAGGAGGCTTGGAGAGGGATAGATGTGTAGAAGAAGCAGAATGGGGCAAACTATTTCCCTAAATAGGCTTTTCCCCTAAACATACACATAGACCAAGTGTACTGATTCTGGTTTGAAAAAATATGGGGATGACTAGAGCAGTATAGTAATATGAGGCAAAAATGAACGGAAAAAATAGGTACTTTCACAAATACTTGTACATGCACATCCATAGCAGCACTATTCACCAGAGCCAAAAGGTGGAAACAAATGCCCACCAACTAATGAACAAACAAAATGTGATATATCCATGCAGTGAAATATTACTCAGCCATGAAAAGGAATGAAGAACCAAGGCATGCTACACTGTGGATGACTCAAAAATATTATGCTAAGTGAAAGAAGCCTGACACAAAAAGTCACCTATTATATGATTCCATTACATGAAATGTCCAGAATAGGCAAATTCATAGAGACAAAAAGTAGATCAGGGATCAAGGGCAGGAGGAAATAGGGGAGTGACTGTTTAATAGTAAGGGGTTTTCTTTTTTTCTTTTTCATGGTAAGAACACTTAACATGAGATCTACCTTCCTAACAAAATTTTAAGTGTACAGTAGTCTTAACAACAGGTACAATGAACTTACTCATCTTGCATAACTGAAACTTTATACCCATTGAGTAGCAACTCCCATTTCCCTCTCCCCTCAGGTTCTGGCCACCATCATTCCATTCATTCCCTGGTTCTATGAGGTTGACTATCTTAAATATCACATATAAGTAGAATCATGAGAAGGGTTTTCTTTTGGGGTGATGAAAATGTTTGTAATTAGATAGATATGGTGGCTGTACAACACTGTGAATGTTCTAAATGCTACTAAATTGTAAAATTCAATTTTTTAAAAAAGAAAAAAGCCTCCCACCCCCACACAAAAAAGAATGAATAGAAGGAAGCCCCTGCGCACCATGGGCCCCAACAAAGCCATGACCAGAAAAGCTGAGCAGAGCGGGAAGAGCACCACAGCCAAGTCAGCAGTCCTTTACTCAATTTCTAGGACATTCTGGGCACTGGTGATTCAGTGAATAAGCCACGAACTCAGGATGCAACAAGATCATAGTCTAGCAGGAGAGACCGAACAAGAAAATGGAAATGAACAGAACAGAAATTTCTAGGAAGTCTTATGATGCACCTAGGCCCAGGTATGAGAAGTATGAAAAAATACCTAATTGGTTGGAGTAGGGACTGTTCAGGGAAGGATAGTCCAGGCAAAGGGAACAATATTGGCGCACCTGGGAACTGCAGGTTTGCTATGGCAGGTGCAAGCTCCTGGGGCCATGGCAGGGGTGGAGGGGAGTGAGACCAAACTTGTGTCCTGCTGTGGTACATGGGTTTTATCTGGTTCACTGAGAAGCCCTGGAGGCCAACTCTGATCACATCTGGTGTCCAGAAACTACTGGAGGAGTGACTGAAAGAACCCAGATAGGGAGCCCATTCTGGAGGCCAACACAGCAATACAGAGGGGGTGAACTCAAGGCCTGCACTAGCAATGGGGGCAGGAAGGGAGGAACGGTGCGCTCACAAGGGAAGCAAGGAAAATGGCGGACACTTGTCATTAAGAGAGGGAACCCAAGAGGAGGACAGGCATGGGAAGGCATGTTAATGGGAATTTCTAGGAGCCCGGTCAAGTCTACATCTGGGTGGTTTTTTGTTTGTTTGTTTGTTCTTAGTTGATCTTAGAGAGAGGGAGAGAGAAAATAACACACACTGATGTGAGACAGAAACAGAGATCGGTTGCCTCCCATACCCACCCCAACCAGGGATCGAACCCATCACCTCTTGGTGTACGGGACAATGCTCCATACAAGTGATAGAAGAAGTGTGGGTGACAGGTTGTAGATGTGACATAAAGAGACTGTGTGGGGAGAAAGTTTAGACTATAATCCAAAGAAGGCGGAATAGGAATCTAGGTCAACCTTAATACCTGAAAGGACAGTGAAAGAGGTGAAATAAGCAAAGGTTACCCAGAAGTTCTCAAAGCCACAAGGGAAAAACCTCAAGTAGGTTTATAAGCGTGAAAAAAGGAGAGCTTAAAACAGGATCACTTCTCCACTGCTAAGATTTTAATTGTTCGTGAACACCCCATGATATGTACTGAGATTTCGATTTCATGTGTGTGTGTTTGTTCATCTGAGCCTCACAATCTTAGGAGCTAGGCAGGGCACATGGTATTGCTCTCAGTTAACAAAGATACTGAAGCCAGAAGTCAGACATCTTGCCTAAGTCAGAGGGCTCATGAATGGTCGTGCAGGCCTGGGACCCTCTAATTGGTACCCTCCTCCACTGCTATTTCTCTGTGCCCTTTGATTACTTGGGTGGAAAGAGAAACATCTGGGACCCATAAAATGAGGATTCTTCATGGCCTAGAAGGCTAGGGTGACTCAAAGCCTCTTACCAGGAAGCCCAAGGAAAAAACCCAAGATAAAACCAACTCAATACGTCAGTTCCTGTGTACATGAGCTGGGAGAAAAGTCACTCTCAGCTTCTTGGCCACCAGACAATCTGTGGCCATTTTCTCTGTCTGTAAATCCAAAGGCTGCCTGAGGGCTCCTGGGATGGAGTTTGGAACTTGACTGTGTGGGGAAGCAAGCAGTGCTCACACCCAGCACAGTACCCAGGGAGCAGCTTCTCCTCGGTACTATGGAGAAGGGAGGAACATGCCCAAGTGGGCTGAGTAAAGCTTCCTGTCCCAATCCCTGAGGCCCTGGAAATCAGCAGCCCCTAGATGTCTCTGGGAGCCTCGCAAGGAAGAGGAAATGACTGAAGCTGAAGCTTGGCTATCTACTGGTTCCTACAAGACTTCCACACTCTCAGATGGGAGCCTGCTGCCCACTGTGGGAGGACTTCCCAGCACAAAGCCAAGAACACTAGGCCTGGCACAAGTTGCAGATGAACTCAAATACCCCTTGGTATCCCCTGGTCCCCAGAGGAGGGGGTTCAACCAATGCTGGTTGATGAGAACACAGGAACAAAGCTGTGCTTTCTACCTTTCTCTTACTGCCTCCCAAGTCCCTTCCAAGCACCCTGATATCCTGTGCAAGGCCAATGTCACTGCTCAACGGGGAGTCTGAAAGTGTGTTTGGCCAGGCTGGGGGTGGTGAAAATGGTGTCAATGCCTGTCCCTCCAATAAGACCAGGAACAAACCACAGTGGTAGGCAAAGTTCTCTAGAGCCAAAACAAGACCCCCAGAACTGCTGGTGGCAAGGAGGGGGTGGGGAAGCCCAAACAGCTCTGGATACATTTCTGCTAGCAGCAAAGAGGGAAGGCTGATGTTCTGCAGTTCACAGAGAGCAGCTGAGTATGGGACTGTGCATAATACGTTTCCACTTGTGCCTGATGGCAGGCAAGGTCCTGGTGGGAAAGGAGGTGGAAGCCAAAGGGAGAACCCCCCTGCAAATGATGCAGAGACACAGGCTCCACCCCCTGGCCTCATTTCTAGTCTAGGTGTGGAACAGCCTGGTGTTGCAGCCTCTCAGCACCCACAGAACTGCTGGCCAGTCTCCTGGGGAGACAGGAAGGGGAAGTACCACCAATGCCAAGACTTGTCAGCTCCATTCCTGAGGAATCTCTGGGCAAAGGGGAGACTTTTAGCAGAGAGAGTTCCCCTACAAGCATCCCCACCCCAACACCTCAGGACTGTGAGGTAGGATCCAATTGTTTTGGAGAGGTGGTCTGCAATGATGATAGCCCAGAGGAGTGAGCCACTAAAGCTCAGGCCAGAGGGCTTGATTTACAGAGGCTCCCCACAGTGACCCCACTCAGTCACCTCCTTCGGCCTCCTTCCCTTCCACACACTCCTCATTTACCCAGCAGCCTGACCTGCCAATCAGCAGCTGCTATAGCATCTAACAACAGCTCCTGGCAGTGCCTCACTGAGCTAAGAAAACCCTCGGCCAGGAACTGGCTCCCCCAGACCCCAAAAAAGGCATTTCCATCCCAAATACAGGGTTTCAGAAGAGACACAGGCTAAATAAGCACCACTTACTCAGGTTTACTGGCTCAGCTAGGGGTAAACTAGCAGCAGGCATTCCTGCTTTTAGGGGAACCAGATTCCCTTTCCTCTAAACCATGTGTGACACCAGCATTTCAAGAACCCTGAAGTTGGGGACAATGACCTTTGGCAGATAGGAGGGGAGGGCAGTCAGGACCCTGAAGAAGCAGGGCATGGGTTCTGCCCACCCAAAGAAAGCTGAAGAGAGCCCTGGCCTGTGTGGCTCGGTTGGTTCAGCATCATCCTGTGCACTAGAAGGTTGCTGGTTCGATTCTGGTCAGGGCACATACCCAGGTTGCAGGCTCGATCCCCACTAGGGGGTGAGCAGGAGGCAACTGATTGTTTCTCTTTCACATCGATGTTTCTCCCTCTCTCTCCCTTCCTCTCTAAAATCAAGAAAAACATATTTTAAATAAATAAAATAAATAAATAAATAAATAAATAAGGCAAGCAAGCTGAGGAGAATCTTTCTGAAGCTGCTCTGATAACCACTAAGCTCTCTTAATACCACTGGCAAAGGAACTTGCCATACACCAGAATTTTCCAGGGCCAAGAACCCCTGGCTGGTCCTGGAAACAGGGTGTCCTATACTTTCAACGGCAGTCAGTCATCTGTCTTCCCTCCACCCATATACAACTCTCTTTTGTTCATTACAAAATCAGGTCCCCCATCTCGAGGCTAACTCTGCTCGCTGAACAATTTGTTGGTCCAAATTTGAGGGCATATTCTAGAGGGAGAGTTCCCCTAGTCTTGGGACCACACACAGATGTTGGAAAGGGAGAGAAATTAAAAGTCCCATTCGAGCTGACCACATTTACCCACAGAAATGGGTCCCTCCAGCTCCTTCCTATCTCCTAGGAGTCCTGGGTTCGGAGCCTCCCTGGAAGAGGAGAGCGAAGGATGTAACGTTCAGTGCTCTGGGGTTTGGCACCCTCTCTGCCCCTCCAGCAGGGGTTAGTGCCTGCCCTGAGAGCACAGGTTACTGGTCTTCGCATTTCTCTAGAGCACTGGGCAAACCAGTTGAACTAGTCTAGCCTTTACTAAAAGTGTTTTGCTTTTTTTTAAATCTGGCAGGCCGCTACTGGAGGCCTTCCAACCCCCAGCTCAGGCCAACCCTCATAATAAGAAAAATACTATTTTCTATCTGCTTCATTTAGGAGGTTTCTACTATTTTTCCTTTGGTGGTTAACTAAATTTCATCTTATATAACCACTGTAAATTTTCTAAAAAATTCCCCAACTGGTGCCAGCAATTACAAAAAATGTGTGTGTGTTTGTAGATAGAAAACCTCCAGGGCAGTGACCAGGAGTTCCAATGAATCTTCCTAAGAAAACAGCAATCTTTCTCAATGTACTAGGAAAGCCTCGTCTTGCCCCCTTTCCAGAAAGATTCTGAGAGCTCTATACTTCACAGACTCTTTAAGTCTCCTCACATTTTTTTTTTTAATTAGAAAAGATAAAGTGAAGCCAGGAGGTTGGGATGTTAAGAAATCATGGGTAAGATACGTTACTGGCAAAACCAAAATAAATACCTAGAGGTCCTGACTGGGGGATTTGGCCTATGGGCCCTGAAAGTTGTGTTTTATCTGAACAAAAACAGGACTTAGACCAGCCCTGAAGACTCCCACTCCATATACAAACCCCAGGTGGCTAACACCTTCTTACCAGGAAGGTCTAGGTATCTTCAGAAAAGAAAAGCAATACAAGGAGTCCAGCCACAAGGCCTCATTTTCACACTAACAGTGCACACAGAGGGGCCAGACCACTGTTTCTGAAGCACCTTCATCACCTTATGACAAATTCCATGGAGAGGACCCATGCAGCATGCCCTCTCTTTGCCTCTGGTGGTAAAGGACTGGCTTTTGCAAAGGAGATCCTTCAGTTTAAGGCCTCTAGTTTAGCCCAGCTGGGTGTGGCTCAGCAATTGAGCATCAATCGATGATCCAGAAGATCGTGGTTCGATTCCCACTCAGGGCACATGCCCAGGTTGTGGGCTTAGCCCCCAGTGCGGGGCGTACAGGAGGCAGCCGATCAATGACTCTCTCATCACTGATGTTTCCATCTCTCTCTCCCTCTCCCTTCTCTCTGAAATCAATAAAGACATATTTTTTTAAAAAAGAATATAAAGCCTCTAGTTTACATGCATGCACTTGCACGTGCAGACACACACACACACACACACACACACACCGCTGAGGAGGTGGCTTTTCAATTAAAGGAAGAGGGGAAAAACAGGAACAGTATGAGAACAGCCTCGGTGATGTCTCAGGCTGGTCGGCCAACCTCCTTGTCCTCTAAGGGGACTGTGACTCTGAGTGTGGCCTCTGCGGGTGACCTGTGCTTAGACTACTGGGCTGCCAAGCTGCTCTCCTATGGAGGTGAACGGAAAGGAGGAGCCTTCCCTATGGCTGCGGGCAGGGAGGAGATGTTATGGGCAGCACCAGGCACTTCTCCGGGCTAGAGCCTGAGCCCCCCTCCCCATTCTCCAAATGGGGCCAGGGGGTACTCCGCTCTTAGATGGCCCCAAGAGCACTCTGTCTTCCACAGCTGCCTTTGCAAAGTTCTCCCTGATGACACGAAGAGCCCAGTCCTCCCAGGTGAGCCCATTCTAAGGCTGCTTTGTGTTCTTGTGATACAGGCGGTATCTACAGAGATCTCTCCCTAGTAACCCACGGGACAAAAAGCAGTCTTCATGAGGGCTCTGCGCAATGTGGAAAATAAGTGAACACAGTTTCTGAGGCCATGGCTGGGGAGAAGACTTCTCTCCATCCGTGGTCCCAGGCAGAGAGGAGGAACAGAACAAAGCGGAGCTGGAGTCGCCTCCAAGGGATGCTCAATGACAAGTCTACCGGGAAGCCCAGAGCACATGTGACAACAGATTCAGACCCTGCAGCTGTCAGTTCCCAGGGACAGGGAGAGGGTGTTTGCTGGGGAGAACAGGGGCTTCCTGGACACCAGGAGAATATGAAGGGGAGAGAAACTCAGGGAATACAGACAGGGTCACAACCTTCCCTGTGGCTGGTCCTCCAACCTGAGCAAAGGTTACCAGACTGCAAAGGTTACCAGATGGCATGCACGCATCCAGAGTCTTTTGGCTGAGTAAGTAAACGAGGTGAGAGACTAGTAGGATGTGTTTTCAGGAGAAGTGAGTGGATCAGATTCATCAGGTTCATTTCACAGGAAAAAACTGGAATCAGCATATGGGGGTCTGAGGAGGCAGGAGCCCAAGGAAAGGTCTGTAAAGAGTCTACTCAGGAAACTTTCACCATCAGCATGGGAACAAAGCAATCCAGGCTCTCTGAGATATCACAGAACTCTTTTCCTAAGCACCGCTGTGATTTTAATCCTAGAAGGTGAGCCCAGTGCCTGGGTTGGGGCACGCCCCACTCAGATCCAGTGCCTGTTCTTGTAGAAGACAGTTCTCAGATGAACATGGTTTGAAGACCAGACTAAGCACATAAGAATGGAAACCCAGAGAGGTGCCAGCAGCACAGAGCATGCAGCACTAAGATGAAAAGAAACCCAAGGGTGGTCTCGCCTCTTTCAGGGCTGTTGTAACTTCCTGAGCACTGACTCTATGCTGAAGGGTTTTACATGTAATATTTTACTTTATCCTGATGAAAATCTTATGAACCAGGTACTGATGTCCCCATTTTATGGACCAGAAAACCAAGGCTCTGCTAAACTGAGCAACATGTCTAGGATAATACAGTCAGTAAGTGGTAGAGGCAGGCTTTGAACTCAGATCAGCCAGGCTCCAAATCCTTACCCACAGCATACCAGGCAGATGTTGACACTCACTTTGTCCACTGAGCTGCCATATTAGGGGGATTTGGGTTTCATAAAATCCCTGGCCCAGTTTCCTACGTGTGTATTCACTGCTCAGTTCTGAGGCAGCTTCCATGGCAGGAAGTAGCATGGCTTTAGTGGAGCGACCAGGTGGTAGCTCAGTGTTTTTATTCCCTAAGGGTATCCACATGTTATGCTATCCTGCCGTGAAGTCAGAGCTTAAGCACTCCATGCAAACCACTGGCACAAACTCCCCGTCCTCCAAGGAGAGGTGGCTCACTCTCTGGGCCCTCTGCTGTCAGGTGTGAGAACAGACAGAAACTGTATCACCAACCAGAGGTCCAAGGAACCAAGGGGTCAGAAGAAAGGGCACAGGGACTGAGTGACCCAACAGACTTTCTGGAACCATGGACCTGACCCATGGGCCTTCTTCCCTTGTCCCTTTGCTCTTCCTCCCCGACTGGCACAGCAAGACTTCCTGAACTGGCAGGCTTCCCATCACCACTCAGGAATTCCTGCCAGAAGGTGGGTGGAAATGCTGCCCAGAACCATGTGAGGTTGGAAAGACCCTCACTCAGAGGCTCCTGGCCAAGTCCTTACCATTGTAAGAGAGGCGAGGTTTGCTCAGACACATTATAAAGTGCATTTCCATCTCATCGGAAGCCACAGACTTGGAGCAAATGGGGCACTTGAAACCTGAAAAACAGAAAAACAGGATGAAATGTTTTCTCCAAACCAAATATATCCGTTATAAATGTGGATACTCTTAAATGACATGGCCACGTGGGGCCAGGATGAACATGGAGATTTCAAATCTAGATACATCCTAGACTTGATTTCTCCGTCATTAAACCACCTCAACTTTTGTTATTTTATTACAGCCTCCAACTCCCATTTTTTCACTACCGCTCTCCCAGTCATATGCCTCTCGTTGAAGTTTATCAAAAGTCACTGACAGCTCATTTGAGTTTTACTTTCTTTTAGACCCTTTCCCAAGGAGGTCTAAGGAGCAGTGGGAACAGGCAGATATCAAATCAGGGCAACTAAATAACCTGTCTTTGAACAACAACGTGTTGAACACCCTTCCACCTCACAGCCCTCAAACTACTTGATTGGGTGCCTTGTAGGAGGAATTCCTACTGTCATCAGCATCTCCATCCCTCACTCCGAGCACCTTTGCCTCCCTGTGGCTAGGGCAGCTGTCCTCTGAGTGCGCAAGCAGTGGGATGGCCCTCCAGAGCATTCCCAAATGCCACACGTGCCTTGGCCATATGCCACTGAGAGTAACAGCTGTTTCACAACACCAGGCGAACACAGGGTTCTATTCCCAAGTGTGGGCTGCTTATATACCCAAGGGGTTTCATCAGAATTGTATCAGTATTGGAGATTTCAGTTGAGAATCTTCTGAGCTGAACTCTACTAAGCAAACATAGTCTCTTGAATTATTTATTATTATTATTTAAATATATTTTATTGATTTTAGAGAGAGAGGAAGGGAGAGGGAAAGAAATAGAAACACTGATGACAGAGAAACATTGATTGGCTGCCTCCTGCACACCCTCTACTGGGCATGTGCCCTGACTGGGAATCAAACTGGTGACCTCTTGGTGCATGGGACAATGCTCAAACCAACTGAGCCACACTGGCTGGCTTGATTTATTTTTTATAAAGTATTTTTTTATAGATAAACACAGATCAGCCATTTCCAATTTCCCCCATTTTACTTTTATTGAAATTATTTTCAAATGGATTCTTTTCCATTCTACCCAAAAGATCCAATACTATTAAAAAGTTATTGTTGTGAAGATTTGGCTCTTCTGTTAATTTTCAGTAAAAATGTCCCATGCAGTTTTATTGGATGCTGGTAATATTTATCAGCAACATTTCTTATGAAACAGAAGGCTGGGGCTCGTGCTGACTGTTAGCTGCTCCAAGACAGGAGAATTCCACACCTTCACTACTCTTTCCTCTCTACGTGGCCTCAATCAAGCAACCTTGGATCTGCCCTCATGCCTGTGCTCTGCAAACAAACCTATACTTATATCAAATAACATTCCACAGAATGACCAGCCATTAGAAGATTGTCTCATTTTCTTCAGAGATTGGTTCACTTTATTTTTTGACTCAAAATACCATAGTTTTGCAACAACTTAAGTAACTAAAGGATACTTCTACTTTAAACTTGCTAAGTCAGCGTTCTGTCTGCAGGCTGAGGGCCAGGGCTGTGGGCAGACTAGGATGAATGTGACCATGTCCTGACAAAGTCACTGGGAGGTGTTAAAGTGATTTGTTACTAATAAAAAGCCTTACACCTCACACATTCTTCACTTTCCTGATAACTTAGAACAGATTCATAGTTATCGCCATAGTAGCAGCAGCCAGTTCCTGAATCCCAATGTGATTCCTTGAGTGCAAGAGAGGAGGCCGAGTTACAGCTAAGGTTCAGGGAAGTAGCCACCCAACAAGAAGGTCTACAAAGAAATGTCACTGAACATTTATTTCCTCGGAGAAAACAAGTTGAGACTCCAAGCTTTAGACCGGTCCCTCATTGTACAGATAAAGAGGCCCCAGTGAGACCATCAGGTCAAACTGAGGGAGCAGGGCTGAGACTACCATCAGATTTCTTAGCTCCCAACCTGGGAAAGTTGTTTCCAGGTGTGATACTGTGATTCATAATAAGAAATATATATTTGGTCTTTGTCCCATTTTTGGCACAGTGTTCCTAAACTCCTTGGAATTTCCTAACATCCTAATCCCAGTAATATTTGTTTTTTTGTCATTTGTTCCTTAAATAGCTCCAGAGCCATAAGGTGAAAGGAGTGTCTATTAGTTGTAACAAGCCCCTTTCAATCACATCAGAGTTTATGTAAATGAGGCAACTTTTGGAATGTCCCTTGGTAAACTAAGGCTAGGGCTGGCTACCAGGGGAACCCACAGATGATCAGAGGGTTGGAACTTTGAGTCCCACCCCACAACCTCTAGGGAGGGGAGAGGGACTAGAGATTGAGTTCAGCCACCAATGGCCAATGATTTAATCAATCATGTCCATGTAATGAAGGCTCCATAAAATCGGAAAGGAAAGGGTTCAGAGAGCTTTCCAGGATGGTGAACATGGAGAGATTTGGGGAGAGGGGTGCCCCTGAAGAGGGCATGAAAGCTCCGGGCCCTTTCCCCATACTTTGTCCTATGTATCTCTTCCACCTGGCTGTTCCTCAGTTGTATCCTTTTAAAATAAATTGGTGGTCTACTAAGGAAATGTTTCTCTGAGTTCTGTAAGCTGCTCTAACAAATTAAATGAAACCAAGAAGGGGATTGTGGGAACCTCTGATTAACAGCCAGTTGGTCAGAAGCACAGATGACAACCTGGACTTGTAATTGGTGTCTGACGTGGGGGAGGAAGTCTTGTGGGACCGAGCCCTTAACCTGTGGGATCTGATACTATCTCCAGATAGGTGGTTTCAGAATTGAGTTAATTGCTAGGTGGTGCTGGGAAAACATACCTCAGGACAGGGTTTTAAGAAAGAAGTGAATTGAGAGGAAGTACCACTGTAGTAGGAAGAGACCTACATTCCAGCAAAAAGCAGGGTTAGTGCCACTTGGATCACTACCTCTGGACTGGGGTGGGGGTGGCGGGTGGGGAGGAAGAGGGTAAGGCTCAAGACATAACTCAAAGTCTGTTACATAAGTGGGAAGTGCCAAGATGACCTAGGTTTTCCAGCCTGAAGATCTTGTCAATAATCTACCTTCATTGGACCTCAGTTTCCTCTTCTGAAAAATAGAGTCATTTACCTTACTTTTGCTAGAAGCAAATGAGATAAGAAACCTGAAAGTGTGCTAAAAAGCAGCTAATCAAATGTATGTGGTATCCCCATCATCACACATGGTAGCAACTTGACAAGAAGGAACAGGAGGGCTGGAAGAAGGACCTGGGGACCAAGAGATGGGGTGATAGAGCATAGGGTACACAGGCCACCACCATGCACAGTGTGCTAGAGGGTGGCTAGTTTGCTTGTCAGTCCTATCTGTTTTCTTTGAACTTCCAGAGCACTTTGTATGGCACTTTCCTACAGCCTATGTAGAACCAAGGTCCCTGTTTAACCTCTATAGCATCCACTCTTACACATATATAATAGGTCACATTTACTGAATCATTACTGTGGGCAGCCACTGGGCTTTATATGTCTTCTCGTTTACAGAGTATAAGGTGAATACTAACATTAACTCTATTTTGCAGAAGAGGAAATCAAGGTGAGTCACTTGCCCAAGGTAACCAGCCAGAGAGCCAGAGCTGGCACACAACACCCAGGAAGTCTGACCACCCACAGTGCACCTCACTCACAGAGCTGTGTGACTAGTAGGGCAGAAGTTATACAGCAGAAACAACCTAAACGCTACAGACACAAGTATTACTAAATTTCAAATCTCCCACACTGTCCCAATTTCTCCTGGGTAATTCCATAAACTGAAACAATGAATAAAATTTTGGGGGGAATTCTGTTAATATGGAAAGACAGAGTTGTGCTTTTCCGCTTGGCACATGAGCCTACAGCACTTAAGACACTCAGTTTGCAAATTACCTTTTAAATGGGAATTAAAAGGCAAAAGGTAAGAGAAATAGCAAAATATGGATAACTAAAGGGAAAAAAACTACTGTCTCTTCCACCTTCTTTTCTGAAAGGTCACCAGTGATCAAGATGGATTCTACCACTCTACTGTCCCAATCTTTTCTCGTGATTGCTCTGTCACGATTCAGCACCAACAGCCCTACGGAATGATAAATACTGTGATCTTAAAGAGCTCTCTAAAGGTTAATATATCTAGGAAATTATGATACCATTTTCAAAAAAAGTCCAAATCAAATTAAAATTAGTCCTGCAAACAAAGGTAAACCAAAGGTCTGCAAAGTCATGCAACCGACTTGATTTTGTTAAATTTCATAAGAATGTCATCAGCACTCAGGAAGCAGGTATAAGAGATGCCTGATTTTCCCTCATGAGAAAGTGACAGGTGCATTCTCCAGGAGACCCCCTAACTGCATCTGAGACGAGGCCCTGTCGTCACCCTAGAAGCCAGGTGAACAGACAGTAAGTACACCCAGCTGCCTTCCTCTCTTCCATCTAATTGACTTTCAGAGGCAGTGCCCTGTACCTGTTGTATCTTTACTATTTGCCACTGACAAAGTGAAGGGAGTGAACCAAGAGACCAGCTCAAGGTTATACAGTCAGAAGAGGCGAGGACAGTTTGATCAGCCAGAACCCAGCTGCTTCCTGTCTTTCAACAGTGTCCTGTTTAAGTGGGGAAATCCTTAGTAGGACCAGAGACCAGGGAACAGAGCTCCTGAGATGACAAGCCTACACTTGCTACCTAGTGGTCTTGAACCCTTTTTACTGCCAGGTCAAAGGGTAAGCCCGCTAGTAGGGTAGGTAAACCAACAGTGACCCCAGGAACCTGCACACGATTATGTCCATCAAGCATCTTCCTGGGCTGGATTAACTGGGCCCCTCGAACTTCACCCAGGCCCTTCTATTTGACAGGGCAGCGGCAAATGGCTCAAGTTACAACTCTCCCAATACTCTTCAACATTTATCTTGCAATACAAATTAAAGTCTTTGTGCTCTGGGACCATATACTTCTCATTTTGCAAAAGTGCAACCTTCTCCTTTAAGACCTGATTTCTTGGGACCTGTGCTCTGAAC